GGTTGAAGGCTCTGTTCTCCAGGACTGCCGCCCCCACTTCAGACACCATTGGCAAGTCCAGGTGGTTAGTGTCTCCCACTGGCTGGCTATAAATTAGAGGTTCCCACAAACCCCTCCCCAGGTGCTATTAATTTGCTAGAGCAGCTCACAGCAGAACTCAGAGAAACATTTTATTTACTGGGTCACCAAGTTATTATAAAAGCAGTTAACTCAGAACAGCAAGATGGGACTGATGCACAGGGCAAGGTATAGTGAGAGTGAGGATGGGCGTCCCCTGGTGAGGCCAAGGGAGGCCTCAGGCTGGACCCAGGTTCCTATCACAGAACAAGGAAGAGTTAGAGAGCGTGGCAGAAAGATTCAGCAAAGCACAGTGAATTTATTAAAGCGATAGTATGCACTTGAGAAGTGAGAGTGGGTGACCTTGGAGAACCAGATGGGCCAGTGGGGTCTGGGTGGAAGGTTTTTATTTAACCCGAGCAAGGTGGGGGGATAGGGTGATCCTTGGCTTCTGATGCTGGTCGGGGGATTGCCCACCTGGCTCATCCTGTCCTTCCTCTGCAGATAGCGATTCTTTTGGTCCTCAAAATGATAAGGAATTGGGGGAGGGAAGCAGGTGAACAGGTGGTCAGTGAGGGTCTTGTCTGCGATGTTCCAGCTGAGATGGAAAAGGGGAAGGATAGGGCTGGAGACCTTTGGTCCCTGTTCTGATTTTCCCACCTCAACAGGGCACAAAGCTTCCAACACTTCAAGACTTCACCCACCCGAGAGTGCTCCCAACTCAGTCCTTTTGGGTTTTTCTGGAGGCTGTATGAGTACATAGTTATGACCGAGTAAAAATCATCAGCCATTGGCAATGGGACTCAATCTTCAGACCCTCTTCTCTGGAGTTTGGGTGGGGGTAGAAGGAGGCACTTTAGTGGATTAAGAGGTGGGGAGGATTTAAAGTTACCACAGTCTAATCCAGTTGTTGGTTCCCCTGACAACAACCCTATCCTCCCATAGGTTACTGAAGGGCTTTCCAAAAATCACCTCATTAACATAACATAACAAAAGAAACTGGATCTTACAACAGAAAATTCCCAGGGTTTTAGGGAGCCAGGAGCCACAGAGGGAGGAAGACCAAGTATATATGAGAAATATACATTTGGTCATCTGAAAAGACCAAATGTATATTTCTTACAAATAACAGTATTGCATCTGAAATATATTTTAGTTATAAAAGGAATCAGTTTTGAGTATTGACCATTAGCAAAAGACTGGAATGGGAAGCCCATATACCCTCCTTTTCGGGAGGCTTAACAAAGTTACACTGACTGATTGCCTTGTAAGAAATCCAGAAACCAGATCAGAGGTTCAGGCATCAGATAAAGCAATTGTTGCGTTAATAAATGAGCTGCATTTTAATCTCTTTTTCGTCTTTTGATGTGACTTCCTTCCACTATGGCCTGATGGGCCTTTCCAATGTAAGCTACAGTCCAGGAGGCTCTGTGCCACTGTGGCGGGTTGTGCAGTTCTTTGGCAGGTTGTGCCAACAGAACATCGAAAGCCTAATTTTACAAAATCTAACATTTCGATTTGATTTATAACAATTTCTCAGACGTGGTCTGGCCCATAATATGTATATGCCAAGCCCTAAGCACTAGCAGTTGTTTTTATCTTCATTGGTGGAGAATATAATCAGGAATGCATACACAGGGAGAAGTGATTCTTGGTGTCTGAATTAGCAGTACAGTAATGTACAAAATTAGGTCTCTACACTTTCCTGCTTTTCCCCATTCATACTGGTGTTTTTCTCCCCCCTTGACATTAAGTACCAGTCTGGTGGGAAGGAAGAAGGTCTTAATGCGCAGCCCTTTTTTGCCACCACTGGGTCCTGTGGTTCTGGCAAGATGTAATTCTTCTGCTCATCAGATTTCTCATCTGTGCAAAGTGAGCTGTAAATAATATAATGATTACAATAGCAATAGCCAACATGTAACTCTGGGGGCTTTCAGTTTACAGGCATTGACTCAGCCATGAAGTTGATATTCTACTTATCCTTGGTGCAGATGAGGAAACTCAGAATGTGGGATAATAAGCAGCTTGCCCGAGAGCATGCTGCTGGTTGGCGGTGGAACTGGAGCAGAAGTTGAACCTGGGCTGCCTGATGCCAGCACTGCCTGCTCAAACCGCCAGTCTCTTCAGGCAGAATGCAGAGATCTAAGGCGAGTAAGCAGTTGAGGACCCACTAAGTGCTAGGCCCTCATGAGGGCATTGTCATACGTTATATCACAGTGGCTTTTTAGTTATTATTATCTTATTGTCTTAAGGAAAGGAAACCAAAGACCAGAGTAACTATGTCTCAGAACTGTGGTGAGAGCTGAATTTCTATCTAGACTTCTGTTTACAATGTCCAGGCTCTTCCCATTGCTTCCCACTGTCCATCATCTCTCTGCCCTCTGTGGCCATCGGGCAGGGACAGATGTTGCAATGGCCTGAAATGCTCAGGTCTTCTTTTCAGTGCCAGCCTCCAACCCATTGCATCACGATAGCCCACTGATACAGAAAAGCCCATTATGAATGGCTGCTGTGATAATTTACACTTTGTCCTAAAGAAGTTGTTATTGGCATGAAAGGTTCAATTATTTTTCATTTTTGATATGTGTACTGACTCTTTAATTTGTTTTATGGGAATAATTAAGTATGATGGTTTACTAGGAGGAAAGCTTTTTTTCCTTGCAGAGAGCCTGAGACCCTGTCCGTCAGTGTGGAGTCAATTGAAGTGATGGTTTTAGAGCTTTGCAGAGCAAAATACCAACCAGCTCTCTTCTACTCACTGTGGCACTTCAGACAACCTGCCTGACTTCACTGAGGTTTAGTTCTTTGTCTGTTAAATAGGCACAATGGCATTTCCCTCAAGGATTACCATAATTTAATTAGATAGCAAGTGGTATATAGTATGTGTTCAATAAAATGTAATCCCTTTCAATAATTAATAGAAGTCATCAATTTATGTCTATTTTTAAAAATATTGTATTTATTTATTTTCAGAGAGAGGGGAAGGGAAGGAGAGGGGGAAAGAAATATCAATGTGTGGTTGCCTCTCGTGTGTCCCCCACTGGAAACTGGCCTGCAACCTAGGCATGTGCCCAGACTGGGAATCGAACCGCGATACTCTGGTTTGAAGGCTCGCACTCAATTCCACTGAGCTACACCAGCCAGGGCAATTTATGTCTGTTTTCGATTAATATATTATGTTTGTAAGTAACCAAATCAAGGATATGGGCCTAGGGATGCACAGTAAACGCGCGAGGAGGACCCCTTTTTCCCATGCGGGTGTTTTCCCCAGGGCCTTGGGTTTTCTGTGCCGTGGATGGGGGTCCGGGAGTGGGTGTGCTGTGGCCTGGGGAGAAGGTCTCAGTGTGGGAGCCGTAAAACCGGAGTGGGCACTACTAACTCTGTGACTTCCTCTAGTCATTAAACTCTCCTTCCCTGTTTATTCATCTGTAAAATCAGAAAAGCAAAACTATCTCTTCTGCTTTGTCGGGAAGAGCTAAACACATTAGTTTAGCTCTTATGGTTATACAGGAGAATGCTTTTGTCATTTTCCTCTTTATTTCATTCATTCCATAGCAAGGCTGCTGCTGCTGCTGCTTAAAGGCTTATGTTTCCTCTCGTTTGTAATCACCAAGAGGTGTTGGAGAACTCTAGTATTTCTACTCTTATAAGATCTAGCCCATTTTCAGTTAAACATCTTGACATTTATTTTAAAGAGATTAGTTATCCCCGCTGACACCATGTGATACACTTACCATAATGTGATGTTAACTCCTGTATTTAAATATTTTAATATTCTATTCAAGAAATAGCAGTAACTCTGGAGCAGCCATTAGAAGAGTAATTTTTTGTGGTCCTTGGTCTTCTGAATTCAGCTTTTCTCCGTTAGATCATTTGAATTACAACCATATATTGTTTAGGTCGGGCGTGAATATGTGTTTGTGTGTGTGGTTTCCTTTCTTCAGTATCCCATCATTCTTCATTTTGGGCCTTTTGGGAATTGTTATTAAATAATTTGATTGTAGAATGCAACTGTGAATTCAGAACATAAGGCATTAATCAGAATAAATGTATCCATAGCATTTAATTTGTGGATTTGTACTTCTGATGCACTGAAATAAGAAATGTTAATTTCTTGCAGACTATTACCAGATGATTTAAAATATCTGCCAAACAGGAATGTCTGTTTTTATGTGAGGAATTTTCATAATAAAATCTTGGCATCATCGCTAAAGAGGTTAGTTTTATATAAACAGAAACAACAGCAAGTATTTTCCCTGAGGACAGTTTTAGCTACAATGTACCAATGCTGCCTAGTTATTTCTGCCTTTTTTCATGCTTTTGTTTTGAAACATAATGCAATTTTACCTGGATGCCCTCCTGGATACTCAGCAATTAGCTCAATAAGTTGACTGGCTCTGCCAAAGGCAAGACCTCCAGAAAATTGGGAGGCTCTGCCACCTCACCCCTTCCCCCACCCACATCTCTAGAGGGGAGAAAGGGGTTAAGGATTATTGGAGAATGGAGGAGAGGGGAGGGAGCCCCGAGGAGGCCCGGGAGCAGCAGGCCGACCTCCAGGTCCAGCTTTCATCAGCAGCTCAGGGTGTAGCTCTGAGCGCTGCTGTGAATTTGGAGGAGGGATGCTGCTGTCAATTTGTGGGACCGCTGCTGCGAGGAGTGGGCGTGGCCTCGGCGGTGTGGATGCTTGTTAGGAAAGATGCTGTATGCTTTTTAGAGAGAAGTCAGGGCTGTGGTGTGTGTGTTCGCACGCGCGTGAGAGAGAGAGAGAGAGAGAGAGAGAGAGAGAGAGAGAGAGAGAGAGAGAGAGAGAGAGAAGGATTGGAGAAAAGAGGGAAGGAGGGAGTGAAGCTGAGAGACCCAGAGGTGCTGCAGACAGAGCTGGGAGAGGGGCTGAGAACAGGGTTAGAGCGGTCGGAGAGCTACTCAAGACATTTTGGGGGAGCCCAATAAATGTGAACATGGGGTCTGTCACCGGAGCTGTCCTCAAGATGCTACTTCTGTTATCTACTCAAAACTGGAGCAGGGTCATAGCTGGGAATTCCTGTAAGTATACAGCAAATGATTTACACTTGCAGGGGGGCTGTCTGCAAAACTTTAATTCTGTTGTTTTGATGATTATTATTTGCAGCTGAAACTGCTGCAACTGAAATACGGCTCTAAATGAAGCATCATTTAAAGCTTTTGCAAATATGACTGGGTTTACACCTGTCTTTTCTCTTGGTCTGGTCGAAACATGCAAAGTGTCATTTCTCTTTTTGTCTGTGAGCAGAATCTTATCCTTCCGTCTTTGGATATTCATTGAGAAAGCTCAAGTTCTAGTAAAACATTGAATTAGCATTAGCATCTTAACCAGGGAGTAGCCTGCAAATGTCTTCATTTCTTCCTTTTTTAGAATTACTGATTTTTTTTTGAAATATGTCTAATAAGAAAACAACTGGCAGCCTTTACATTATGCTGCATTAGCTTAGATTTCTGAAGTGGGCAATTTGGCAGACTGATAGCTGGCTACATATTTAAAATGATGCCAGGCTCATAACTGAAATGTACTGCAGAATTCAGGAGCAGAATTGGTGGAGGTGAACCTCAGTGTTAAGAATTGTGCCCTCACTGCTAAAAGAACAAGACTTAAGCCGGAAAGAGGGGACTTGATTCCTACCTTTTGCTGAAGGAAAAACATTCTGCTGATTTATCAAAGATATTATTCTTTAGTGATTGAATTTTTAACTTTATAAATTTGTGATTGAGTATTCTGAGTCTGAGTTAATTGATTCAGGGAAGATTTATAAAGATTTTAAATATTCAAATTAATTCGGCAGAACTCCCTATATCCACTTTTTATTAGAGATAGAAAAGTTTTAAAAGTTATATTTGGCTTAAAATGTCTAAATGGGAGAATTTTTCCCTCTTTCATGGATGATAAACAAGCTCTGAAAATACAACTTTTGATCTCTTTCACAGATTTTAAAGGAAAAGCTCATTTGCTTTTCAAGAAAGGGGTCTGAGGCCTATTTAGGAATCTGTGTTGCTGCCCTGTAACCAGGTTTCCGTTGGGGTGGGTTACAAATAAGCCAGCTGTGAGGCATCTGCTGTGGCACATCCCTGAGTACATCGAAGTGCTCTGATGTGGGAAGAACATATAAACGCCGACCTCACTGGTAGCAGCCAAACATCCATGGACACTGCATGGCTACTGTGATTTTGTGTTTGCATTCAGTGTTGGCTCATTTAGTGACGTGGTGTGTCTGTCATTCCGAAAGGAGAAAACTTCACTTGGCTGCTGCACTGTGTTTCAGAGTCAGTGTTAATTTGGGTGAATAAGAACCCTGTGAGTCAGTAAAACATGCATATTTTTACCAAGTGAAAACCGTGGGGTGCTGTAATGGTAGCACGTGACACCCTCTGCGTCAGCCAGACAATCACAACACACACACACACACAAAGTTTTGTAGAAAAGGCATAAATAATTCATCCTCCAACTACCGAAGTTCAACAAAAAAGGAAGGCACTAGAGGTCACTCTTACAATGTAATGCACATGCCTTGAAGCCTCCTTCCCTGAGGAGAAGCAGAGCTGACGTGTGGCCTAGACACGGCCGTGACTTTCCCAACACCTGTATTCAGGTTTAAAACATATTGATGGGATTGGTTGGACTACTAGTTGTTTACATTCGTTTGTTTTCTTGAAGTCTGGTAAAAGGCAGATCGACATTGAGTAGCTTTCTTTTGAAATGTGTCTTCGTAGTGCAGGAAAGACAAGGTGCTGAAGTCTGAGGGGAGCAGGTATTCATCGGTGCTTAACTCGAGCTGAGTCTGCCTCTGACGCTTGAAATTTCAGTCCTGGCTCTGTATTCTATCAATCTGGGTTTGTTCAAGGAAGTACTTTAAGGCCTTTCCAAGCATTTGATAAACTTGAGGAACCTGAACAATTTCAAATTACTAGGAGTGTTTCGATAAGAAAGTGAGAGTTCTTGGTTGCCGTATGTTCAGTGGACAGTTCTTAGAGTGTCAAAAATGCAGTTAAGTGACTTCAGATCATTAAAGTTGCATTTAGTAATCTCTTGTTAATGTTACTTTGGTAGTATGATTTGCAGCAATGCGTATAAAAGAAAAAATATTCCCAGTTGTTATTTTAGTTTCTATACTTAGTAAGTTTTATTTTTTGGAAGGGAGGGAGCAAAGGCCATTCAGTACCAAGGTACTTCATGTGCTCTGTCCTTTCTGGAAGAACGAGTGTGTGTGTTCACCAGCAGATGGGGGTCCCTTGCACAGACCAGCGACCATCACCCGTACGAGCACTTTAAAGTGTCGCACAGTGACTCCAACAGCTGTTCTGGGCGAGACTTTATAGTAAAACATGAATCAGTCTCGAGTTCCAATGTAAAAGCAGGGAGAACTGAATATAAATAAGGAAAATTAAAGGTCAGTGTTTTGGGTGAAAAGATCTTCTCCCCGTATGTATATTGGATTCACCAGGAGCAAATCTGTCACCCACTGAGGCAGCCTGAGGCTGCAGTGGGCAAGCGCTCACGGGACAGGACTCTGTGCAGTGGACACAGCCCAGGGACCAGGGGCACTGCGTTTGGAGGTTAGTTGATCTAATTAATCAACAGAGAAACTCTACATTAGAAGGATTCTGTACACACATATGTTTTCATGTGTGTACACAGTGGTAGGCAAAAGTAGGTCTACACAAAACAGAATTTATTCTTGTAATATTTATTATTGTGTTATTTTCCATACAACTGTAAACCTACTTTTGCCCCACCCTGTGCATATTCATGTATATGTATGTGTGTACACATGTAAACCACCAGACCCACGTGCCCACACACTTTTGGTGTCTTTGCTTTCTGCTTATCTGTCAAAAGACAAACTGTGTTGTATGTACCACATTCTTTGCCTACCAGGCAAAGAATTTTTTTTTATGTCTGTCGACATTACGAAAGCAGCGAACCAGCCCAGGCCTTTCCGCTTTGTTTTGGCCAAGATGAGTTGGTTATTACAGCAAGGCGCCCTTCCATGCAGACTTAGAGCCGATTCCTGTAAAGGGCTGGGTCTTTGAGATGTCGCACTGGTGTGGTGTCTTCACTTGCTGCTAAGAGACATGCCCTGAGAAGGAAGTCATCTCTTTATTTGATAATCACTCTGATGAGCCCACATTTTCTTTCTGACCCTTAAAATGTTGTTGGGGGTGTGGTTGACTCATCCCAGAAAAAGGAACAGGTATAAGTAGTTAGGCCATGAAGAGTTTTGCTTTCCTTTTTACTCTTGCAGATTACGTGATAGAGGTTCTATGGCCTCAGGTGTACTGAGCCTTACTCTGAGAATGTTAACTGCTCACCAAGTAGTTTATGAATGACTTAGTTAGAAGGTAGCTGCTCCCTGTGTTCTTGCTTCTCTAAACAAAATAAAGTCTGTATCTGATACTTACCCTGAAAGAAGCCCAAAGGATATGTTAAAACCAGCAGCAGGTAAAGGTGATCGCTTGAGCCCAGGGCTTACTCCTGGGGACTCTGTAATGTAACCTGAATGCAACTGACAGGTTCTCACATTATGAAACTCACCCTTGTAATCCTTTTTGGGAGTTGCTTCTTTCCTCCTTCTCCCCCAAATTCCTGTCCATAGCAAAAATGACTATAATAGTGAACTGCTGGTAAAATTCAACTCTATGATGCAATGCCTCAGTAGCTGGCCATTAGACATAAGGGGGCATGCATGTTGACTCACTCTTCTAACAGCACTACCGATGTCCTTCAATTTGGTGCATTCTTCCCACTTCCCATAGCGTACGCCCTAAATCACTTTTCATAGGAGCAGCCTGCCGCTGTGGGAATAACACAGCTTCTAGCTGATATGGAGTCAAATATACGACTTGCACACAGTATCTAGCGCTTACTCTAAGTCATGAACACTTATCATCTTCTAAGTTAATTTTGGAATTTGTATCACATATACAATTCCTTAATGGGAGCCAATCTGTAGATCAAGACTGAATTAATTTACCTCTCGAGTGAAAACAAATTAGTAGAACATTAGCTGTATGAAGATAATGTAATATTTAGCTCCACGGTTGGTGACGTGTGGCCCCTAGATGGACCCGGCCCACGGCCTGTGTTGTACAGCCTGTGAGCAGAGAATGGTTTTTACATTTTACATGTTTGAAAAAAGCCAGAAGGAGAAGTCTTTATTGTAAATAATTATGTAAAATTCAAATTTCACTCATCCATTCTTCTCATTAGTAGACCTATATGGCAAAAATTCATACTCAGTTATTATTATACTTTGAAGTTTTTCAATAAAATTTTCTTAAAATTGATTTTTCTCTTGTTATATAAGGACCTACATAATGTTCTTTTTTAAGAACAGATTTTATTTACTTTTAGAGAGAGCAGCAAGAAGGGAGAAAGAGAGGGACAGGAGCATTGGTATATGAGAGCTACATCTATTGGCTGCCTCTCACATGCCCCCAACTGGACACCTGGCCTTCAACCCGGGCAGGTACTCTGAATGGGAATCGAACCAGTGATCCTTCAGTTCTCAGGCCAGCACTCAATCCACTGAGCCACTCCAGCCAGGGCCCATTTTTTACTAACTGGTCCTTTGTAGAAAAATTGTTGACACTTGATTTAAGTAATACACAAATATAATGACGAAGCATGGATACTCTGATAAAATTTGGTTGTAATTATTAGCCCACAAAGGCGTACTTTCAGAGTTCTGGAACAGGAGGTCATCACTGCTGTGGCCAGGACTGTAAATCAGAAGAAACCCCCCAGTTCGCACCTTCTCCGAAAACTTCCTCGCACAGGCTTTATTGTTCAGAAATCTTATTTCAGTGAGTATGAATTATTTATAACTGTTTGTAAAGTTTCAGCAGTTTTGGCTGCTAAAAGGGCACTTTCAATCTCAAGTAATCCCATTAGTCTAAGAAGTTCAATAAACTCTATAAGTAATTGCATCTTAGACGTTCTGACTAAGAATTCTGTTGATATTTTGTGTTTTTGTGAGTATCAAGTATTCCACTGTGTGCTCGTCAGAAACTTG